AAGAACAGAGTAAATGAAAAGCATACATCACTCATCAACTTAAAGAACCCAATTACTGTCTTAAGTAAATAGTTTAAAAGAAATACGCTCATCAAACCACTCTATATTAACTCATTTACATGTGGGTGTTTTTGAGTTTTATTTTCAAATATAAACTTTAACTTTATTCTATCATCGTAATTAATTTGGTCTGATATCATAGAGAAAAGAATGCTTGAAAATATGGAATAATTTTTCGGAAGGTATTTACTAGCTTCTACGACAATTGAATTAGCTCATTTTTGATAAAAATCAAAATATTTTACTTGCATACTTACTTACTTACGCCTGTTACTCCTAATAGAGCATAGGCCGTCGACCAGCATTCTCCAACCCAATCTGTCATGTGCCTTCTTTTCTAATTCCATCCGATTCTTGTTCATTTTTCTCATGTCTATCCCCATTTCCCGGCGTAATGTGTTCTTTGGTCTTCCTCTCCTCCTTTGGCCTTGAGGATTCCATGTGAGGGCTTGTCTTGTGAAGCAGTTGGGTGCTTTCCTCAATGTGTGTCCTATCCAATTCCAGCGCCTCTTCCTGATTTCTTCCTCCGCTGGGATCTGGTTTTTTCTTTCCCACAGTAGTCTGTTGCTGGTAGTGTCCGGCCAACGGATCGGAAGTATTTTGTGTAGACAACTTTTAATAAACACCTGTATCATCTGGATGATGGCTTTTGTAGTTCTCCAGGTTTATTATACTTGCATAGCGATCCTAATTGAAAAACTATTGAAAATTAAGTTACATTAGACACATGTTTTGTCCTAGTGTTGAACTTCTCGGAAATGCAGACCTATGACTGTTTTAGGGATAGAATAGAGGTGGTTCTTCTTTGTTCTCTGTGTCGTGACACAGAGATAGAATAGAGGTTTAATCTTTAAACTATTGACCCAACATTCACTAGTTTACATATTTATGTCCAACCGGTTTGTGATATTGCGCAATTATGCTTTAATGCCACTACATGCGAACTATTGGAAGGGATCTCTGTGGTCTAACCAACTAATTGCTTGTCCTGAGACGGGTTAGAACTCTGGGGGCGTGATGAAGGTATACTGTCGAAAGGCCCCGTATGTAAACAGGAAAGCTGTCTACTGCTTTCTGGATTCCAGTGATTATATGGGATCAGTATATGGTATAAATTATGAAATTCAACAATCTCCACAAACCCCCATATATTAACGAATAATGGTATTTTATTAGAACGTTTTACTGCGTAGCATATTATTAATATTATTTTATAGAAGCGTTAGTGTATCTCAAATGAAAAGTGATTTATTTTTTACGAAGTTGCTTGAAACCGTTAGTTTAATCTTTTTTGAATACAATAAACGAGCGTGTCCAGATTTATTGATAATAAATTAAAGGATTCATATATGTGATTCTGAGTTATGTATGTCTAAAGACTGAAATAGAAATCAAATACTGGTTTCTAATGTTTATTTAGTTAATTTCAGTCTATAATGAAAATTATTTCCCAAATAAAACATGTTTTTATATATCTAAATGAACCATACTACTCATTATTGGTCAGTAGAATGAATCATTATAGTTATATATTGATGCAGGTTGAATCATAAACAGTAACCATCAGTCGATTGCTTTTGATGTAATTCAGGACACAATTATCCAGAGTAATGAGGTTTCAAATTGTTTTCACACTATTTTATTTATTATCCTTGTCTCCTCTTACCCTCTATTTCTAGTCTATTTGACCATTTATTTTTATATATAAATGTTCTTAACAAGTATATGTGTGATCAAATTGTTAGAAATTTATTGCGCTAATATATCACATAGTTCTCATAATCTTCGCCTCATTATACTATAGAGACAATTAAGAGTGTTTATAGGGTTTCTCGAAGTTTCTCGTGCATTATATACTAGCCGATACAGTAAAATTATTCACATATTTATGATATGTGCAGTCGGGGACAATCGTTTGTACGGATGTTTGAGGGAGTGTGTAAATTATAATCACCGAATCGTTGTTAGCAGGCGTTATCTCGTGGACTCCATAACTGATTTTCACGTTAATAATGTTGACAGTTTGGTGACAATTATGGAGGAATCTTTGGCTTTGTTTAGTCTCTAAAGGTAAAGGGAACTATAGACATTGGGAAGTTTTTTAACGCACCTACGTTGATTTTAATAACAATAAGTCAGTCAGTCAGCTACAACGTAGGACCAGGCACATATACGCATCGGTCCAGGTTGACATACCTCATTAGCACAGTAAGATGAACACCGGATTCATAGGAGTGGTTAGGTTAAAGGTGGTAATATATAGGAGAAAGATTGCATATAAGGATACAGTACCGGAATATAGAATTAGTTCGTAGAAAGAAAGATATGAAGCGATTTTAATCTCTTAGTTTAAGGGAAGACAGGGAGTGTATACACCGACGCCATTGTGACCGATTCTGAGCCATGTCACCAAGAGTCTCCAACCATTGGTTACGAAAGTCACGCGGACCCCAACCAAGTAGTCTGCATCTACCAACATGGCTCAGATTAGAGGTTAGTGTCTTCAAGCACTGATGCCACGTTTTGGTTTGGCCTTTATAAATTTAGAAGTCATTTAAAAAGTGCATGTGCATCTTAGACTCGTTTCACTAGCATTTTAACTGGTTAATGAGGGTCTGTGGAATCACTATTTACATTTAAACTCAGTAATATGAATAATCTTAATACTATTTATATTTTCAGATGCTTTATCGTGACACCTTCTATTCATCATCAACCAATATTATGAAGCCTAGCCAGTTAAACTTTTTAAACGGACAGTGAGCTATGTTGCTCAACATAGCAGTACAATGTATTTAATAAGTAATATTTGGATGCAGATCATCATGAAACGGGTTTTTCAATATTACCAAGACTCCAACATAGTCAGTTAGGTAACCATTAGAATACGTATTATGATTCTTCCTTTCTTACACATACTCAGTCAGTCAGTAGAGATAATGCATCAATCAAAATCCGAATTTATCCTTCTCTAAACCGAGTATACTAATCCGTCTCCAAACCAATTACGTCACAAAACCAATGACGCGCCTAGCCTGACACCATCAACCTTGAATAATGGCAAGCTATAATCTTAGCCCCAATTGGTTGGGAACGCACACTCTTCTGATAGTCAGTCCCTAGTCCAATGGGAGAACACAGAAGACATGTTTCTATGTGAGCCTACAATTCAAGTACTCTTGGGTTTATAAACAAAAATTATCAGATCACAATTAGGAATCATGCTGCATATATCCAGTGGCAGAGAACAGATCGAAAGGTGCATAATTCCCCAGTAACGATCAAGAAATATTAAACCGATTACAGTAGTTGAAATGCCAAACGAACGCTCACAGAGAATGTTGTAATGCAGTAGTCCAATCATCAGTATCGTTAGGAATTTTTATTTTCCAATGATTGAAGGAAAATTGTTTTTACTCATGCTTCGCTACATAATGCTAACAGCTTCGTCAGAGTAATGCCATGGTATGGTCGAGAGTGGGGAGAGTCCGCTCTCCCTTTCCAAATGCTCTCACATAACCACGCGAATATAGCCTCTGTCAGGGAAGTCCTACTCATTGCCTTCTCGAGTCGGGGGTGTTGTTTACGAAATTGAGAGGACGAAAAGTGAGTGTCCGGCGTTATAACCCGGTTGGTAGAAATGGAGAGTCCACCTAGGGGAGTTGGAAAACTCTGATTCCAAACCAATCGTGCACATGAGCTCCAGTATCCTGAAGGAACAAATGGCGTATAAAGCAATCGTTGGTCACAAGCTACCATGGGACTGCGTCTCCTCACGATGCCTCACTGCCTTGTGGATCAGACCTTCAGGTCGAAGGCTCCAGGTGTGGCCCCCTAAGTAGACCACCTGCTACGGTTTGTGCGCCCGGACAGTATCACAGCCCTCACACAAATCGAATGATTTACGTGGCGCATATGTATTCGGCGCGTCCTTGTACCAATGTTTATGTGCTTAAATAAATAAAATAATAATAATCTGCAATTACGTAATGATAAATGTTGTACTCTCTTATTCTAGTGATTAATGAAATTTTTATTGTCTTTCTAAGTAAAATTATCAGCATCAACTCTGAAAAATGAGTTAGAACTTAAGAAGAATCTTCAAAGAAAGATAAATACAATTCAAGACAATGTAATACTGAAACCAACTGATGAAGAGATGACTAGATCCAGTTAAGTATTATTTGTATATAACTTATTATCAAACCTATATTCAATTAATTTATCTGCGACAATACAATTGAACTAAGTAAACGGAATCATAAACCCATGGGTTAAAGATCTCAATTGTGTAGAGCACATCTTCATTATTATTGTCAACAAAAACATGAATAGAGAATTTTCTCAGTGTTTTTTAAAAAAAAATTTAATTATAAATAGGGAGGTAATGAAAATTGTTGAAATCACGATTCGATCTAGGCTAAAAAATCATTATTATTTATTTTATTTTAACACATATTGGTACAAGGAGGCACCAAATACATATGCACCACACAAATCTCATTTGATATGTGTGAGGGCTGTGATACTGTCCGGTTGCCCAGAGCGAAACTGGTGGTTTTCTTAGGGGGCCACACTCTGAGCCTTTGACCTAAAGGTCTGATCCACAAGGTAGTGGAGCATCGTGAGGAGATGCAGTCCCATGGTAACCGGTGACCAACTATTGATTCATACGCCATTTGTTCCCACAGGATACTGGAGCCCATGTGCACCATTAATTGCAGATTAAATAGAATTCTATGAATTTTATTCGACGATTTCAAACTTTTTCATTTTGTTGTGCCTACGGAATGCTTAACTGATATCTGTTTGATAGTGAAATCCCAAATATGATACCACGTATCAAGGAAACCAAGACTAGTGATAACGAATTTATTTGACCCTAGATTTAAATCAAACTGATATATGAATACATTATATTTTATACGATCTATTTACAGATTGATATGGTTTGACCTGAACAGTATTCAAAATCGATTGATCAACAGTTTGTGAAAATATTTTGCGACATCATACTAACCAATTTTCATTCTGGCTCAATTGTGTCGTTTTGATTCTTTCATATCACATTTCATGAAATCTTAATACTTAGTTAGGTGAGAATGTTTATAGTGAACTGTTTTGATTTACCTATGGCTAATTTATGTTGAGTGATTTTCATTCGTTCCATTGTGCAAATACTATTGCACTGATATTTTCTTGTCAGCTTATCAAGTCAAGTTAATTTAGACTATATAAGTTGATCTTTAATCCCAGATAAAATAAAGTTTGTTACTTACCTGATAAGGTCTGTAATTGAATGTAATGGAATTGGTATTTCAACCGCTAATAAATTCTAGATTCTCGTATCTTCCTTATTGTTGTAATGGGGTAGAAACTGAGGATGTTGTAACTTTTGGAACAATTTACGAAGAAATATTTATGCTTTTATTTTAGGGTTACTAATTCATGTAAAAGATAGAATACGAAATGATTCATAATCTAATTCTGTTTATAAAATAAAATTTTCCGACTATGAGGCAATATTTATTAGACAAACTTATCAAGAAATCAATATCAGAACAAATGATTATCGTTGAGTTGTTGTTTGACGAGAAATCCAATAGGATCCAATATCACGTCATTTGATTGACTTTGACAAGATCAGTTAGGAAAATTTTTAAAAAAAATTAAAAGAATGGTTCATGGCAGAAGTACTTCACATTAGAAGTATTTCAAATTGTTTGAATAGCATTGATCTATCAAGATTAAATTTGATCCGACTTCAATATCCTTTTCTCTCAAGATAACATTAATAATACAAATAGGAAAAGAAAAGAGTTTAATACGCCCTCTATTTAAAATGTTTGCACTTATCAAATAAAATAATCTACACCCGGCTGTTATCTTTATTAGTTCATTCCCTCTACAACACAAAATTACATCATTCATAAGAATTTTGGTCAATTTACTACATATAACCTGAAATTTCTGTAGATTTCAGTTTACTAGTCATTTATTTTTACACATATTGGTACAAGGAGGCACCAAATACATATGCGCCACATAAATCTCATTTGATATGTGTGAGGGCTGTGATACTGTCCGGGTACCCAAACCGAAGTAGGTGGTCTACTTAGGGGGCCATAATCGGAGCCTTCGACCTAAAGGTCTGATCCACAAAGCAGTGAAACATCGTGAGGAGATGCAGTCCCATGGTAGCTTGTGACCAACGATTGCTTTATACGCCATTTGTTCCTTCAGGATACTGGAGCTCAAGTGCACGATTGGTTTGGAATCAGAGTTTTCCAACTCCCCTAGGTGGACTCTCCATGTCCACCAACCCGGTTAAAGCGCCGGATGTCCGCTTTTCGTCCTCTCAATTTCGTAAACAACACCCCCACCACGAGAAGGCAATGAGTAGGACTTCCCTGACAGAGGCTATATTCGCGTGGCCATGTGAGAGCGGCCTCTCCCCACTCTCGAACGTACCAGGGCACTTCGGGGGCTGGCTCATTCTAGTATGGGACTCTTGAATAGTTCACACCTACGATTCTGAAACTGGAGACCAAACACAAGACTTTCGTTCTCGCGAAAGAACGCTTAATAATAACTTCACATTTAGAATCAGAACATCTATATTTCATCATATGATAGTAGCGTACACTGGAATACGAAATTATTTCATCATATTCGCGACTTGTTAGCTGCATCGCTAAGTCAATGTTTTTACATAGATAGACTCAGACTAAAGAGAATAACCTTGAACATCACAGCATATCTATTGTCCACAAGAATTAGAAGTTATGACAGCAACCAACGTTTCAAACGAGTATGATCTTTTGTAGTAATAAAAACCCTTAAATCTATGAACTATCTTTCTGTAACAATCAGATTCAATACTAATCCACTAAAAATCAATCAACCAATTAGATTCTCAAACCAATGATAACTATTAAAGAAAAACAAGTATAAGTCAGGAAGAACTCAAATGCACTGGTACGACCAAGTATAGGAGTTCGCTCTCCCTTTTGAAACGCGTATATAATCACTAACAGGGAAATCCTACTAACTACAATTTCACAGTGGGGGTGTTGCGCACGAGATTTAGAGGACGAAAAGTGAATGTCCGGTGCTTGAACCAGTTTAGTGGGTACGGAGTATCCATCTAGGAAAGTTGGAAAACTCCGATTCCTGAACAAAGGTGCATGTAAGATCTATAATCCTAAGGGAACAAACGATGTATGAACCTGTTCTTGCTTTTTGGCTGACATGGAAGCGCATCTCCTAACGTTGCTCCATCACCTTTTGGATTAGATCTTGAAGTCAAAGAAAAAACCTGCTTCGATTTCTGTACCCGCACAGTATCTCAGCCCATACAGAAATGTAATGATTAATTGTGTGGCCCATATATACTGTAATGCCCTTTTGTACCAATGTTTATATGCTTAATTGGATAAATAGATATTAGTAGAATGGGGATTTGTGAGAATTGAGGATACACATTGCTAAGGAGTCCCATACTAAGACAAAACGGCTGTTTAGTGCTTCTAGGTTTTCAATGATGGTCTACCTTACATCGACTCATGAATTTAACGATTATAATAAATAATAATCAAAAAGATGGGGTTTTTTTACAATTCAACAGTTAATTTTATTATATGCACTTATACACAGATAGAATAAGAACTAAATATTGAATGTGGAAATTAAAACGAAACAACTTTCCAAACAAAAACTTTCGAACAATTGTAACATGTTAATATCATCTAAGATGATTATTGCAACTACATTTTGAAGTGAAAACGAATAAAGAAATTGTATAGTTACACATAAATAATAGAAAAAAAATAATAAGAGCCTAGTAGAAATTTCTTTAAAAACAAAAACTCAAAAGTAACTATGCAATACACACACGCATACATATATATACTTCCCTATGTATAGACAGTAACATTGGTGCATATAAATTATACACAAATAAGGAATGTTATCGCTTCAATTGACATTGGAGAACATAATAAAAGATTTACTTGACTTGTTGATGATAGAAAAGAAAATATAATAAGAATAGTGAAGAATTGATTAGTTTTAAAGTCCACCGGAACGTTGACCACTTGTATCACCTATTATATGTTTTATATATAAACGATTTAATTGTTCTAAAAAGATAAATGTCAATACTGTGTGAGGTCCAATACGTAGAAAATATGGTGTAAAACCTTTCCATAGTGATAGAATACCTTCATTTCGTACTACTCGTAAAATAACATCCTAGAATAGAAGAAAATAATGTTATATAAATAAACAAATGAAGAACTATGTTAAAAGTATAAAACTTGTTTTAATCATTTTTCATCAAGGTCATATTGTCAGTTACTCATAAGCAAAGTAGAACCTGATAAATATGTGCATAGAATTAGTAACATTATCAGTATTAGTGGTAGAAAATATATGGTATAGACAATATGATTACAATAATCGTATGAACTCTAACTAGATAGTAGTCTGCAGGTACCAAAATAGCTTGGATCAATAGTTAATGACTCCATAGACTAACACTATAAGTTAGTTTGTTTCATACTTTCCGTTAATAACTCAACAATCTCCCAGTAGAAATGGGAAGTAGTGTACTATGGTGGATTCATTTCAAGATAGTAAGAAACAAATATCTGTTAATGACATTTACTTAAAGATGTTTGTATAACATACATAGAAAACAAAAATGAATCGTAAGGAATAATACACATTCATAAAATATCAGAAAACGTTTACAGTTTTGTATACGGAGTTAGTGGTTAAATCAACTTTTCAAACATCGACACTTCATTTTAGCTTCTCATACTAATCGAAAGTGAAGTGCGGTTTGAACTATTCACGAAATAGTAAAGAGATACTTTATCTGAATACATTCAGGGAAATTATGCCTAATCATTCATCTTCTCATTCATTGCGAGGTTAAGAAAGTAATACTTAACATAAGGCTGGAGGAACACTACAACCGAGACGATAATGGGTAATTTCTTCGAGAGTATCTGCAAGATCCTCGTTTGAAATCAACTGATAAAAGTAGGCTTTAGGAAATCAAAAAGAATGATAAAAACCGATATTTCATAGATGTTGTTTAAATCACTAAATAATATTATTAATATATAGAAAATCAAAGATCAACTAGAAAAATTAGAAGGCAAGAGAAAAAGAAAGGTGATAAAGAAAACACGGTGAAATACACGAAGCTGGTCAATAAATCAATATTGCCGTGGTCTACTTTGACAACGTTTAGGGTGATAAAAATTGGTATTAAACATGAAAAGAGGGTTTGAAGTTTCGTATCTCCAAGGCCTCAGTAAACTTTAGTCTATGGAACTCCCCAATAATTTACTTGAAAACTCAATCTAAAATATGTCTTTACAGGTGGTACGTGGATAGTATTATTATCTTAGGAGACAAATATGAAGATAAAAACCACCTGTTCAGGGGATTCACCACACTTCTCCATGAGAAGAGAATGTGAATAACTAGCCTTCATTTTTAAACATACTAATTAGTAGGAAAGTGGATGGCTGTATCAAAAATTCGATATATAGGAAGTATATATGGACAGAGCAATATCTTAGTTTACATAGTCATCGTCTAGTCCAGTACGAACATGAGCTAATAAAGAGTTTATTTATTAGGACCAATCATATTTGTACTAACAACACAATTAAAGAATGTGTATTCACCAAAGCTCGTAAGCCCATAGAAAGGAAAGAAAATGATGAGAACCGCTACGCTTTCGATACATAAAAAACTTGTCCATATCACCCTATCATTAAAAGGTGACCCAAATAGCCTCACGTTGAAGCGAAGACTTGAATTAGCGATCAGTAGTTCTCTTTACGCAGCCCAACTCATCATTTCGAAGAAAAAAAGTTTATATTTCACGAAACCCCATCCCTAAAAGAGCACAGACGAGTGCCACATTCTATTGCGTTTATAAATTTATATGTTTGTGCGGACATACAAATATAGGGAGAGACAACTGAGACCTGAAAGTGGCTGAACACAAACCTAATTGGCTACAAAAACAAATGAATTCCAATGATCGAATAAAATCAAAGCATAGATAAACATTTTCCTTCATTAAGAAACATGTAGTTGAGATGGTTGATATTAAATCACCTCTTGTAGTGTTGTATGGGTATTCAAATGCGTTTACTAAATTTGTTGAAGTCTTATTTTGTCTTAACAAGTACTTGTATGATCAGATTGTGTATAGTGCTAATATAGTTCTTATAATCTGTATCTTGCCATTGCATTATTTCAAAACTATCAAAGCGACTAACTGTTTTAGATGTTTTAACGATAAAAGGAATTATGTGTATGAAGTATTAGATGTAATTGAACCAAAAGTAATTCCGAACAGTGTGTTCTTCTTTTTTAGATTTCTTGCAACATTCTTTACTTCAGATTGTAATGACTCATACAAACTGTGATTAATATGACAGGCTGATACAAAAAACTATTTTGTGACTTTATTTGACCTTTATATCTGTAACTGTAACATTCATAGTCATATAGTATACTCTTCTATATACTCTTCTATATAATCCTAACCTTTCACTTACGTACGTTCATGTGTATGCATGTTTTTTTTAATTGCCGTTTGTCTATATTAATATTTTCGTACATCAGCTTGGTTATGGAGTTGGTGTAAAGCCAACGCCTAAGCTTTATGCTTATTTTTACCGAAATCATCCATCTGAGCTATAAATCTTTTTCATCTCAAAATTCATTTTTACCACATCTGTCTACTTGTGTATGAATGTCTCAAATAAATTTTCCAAGCACATTTTGTATTTGACTTTTGTTACCCCACTATTGCACAACAGCGTTAGGCCAAGTGTAATATGCGAAACATTAAATACTTAGTGATTGATCATGAGCCATCATCTTGACTTCGTCATTCATATCTACTGTTTACATTCATTATCGACTTTGTAGTTAGCAGGATGAATCGTGCATCAGCTTGGGTAAGCTTAACTTCCTGTGGTTTATCATTAATGACATACTAGTGATACCTCGTGTTTTTTTTACTTCTTCATACAAATTCAAAGTGAGGTTTGGGTCAGCACTAGGATAACTTCGAGTAGATTGCTTCCTTTACATTAATTTTATTTGAATACAATGAGGATTTCCAGTTATTTCTGAAGGGATGAGCTTGAAGTTAAGAATAATACGAATTGAAGCCAACAATTTAAGGTGAACAAACAACACCAATCCAAAACTTATCAATGGCCGACAACATCTGTATGACATGTCCATTGACTAATTTTCAGTGCTTGCTATAAACTCGGAAAGTACCTTGTATGACTGCTGCAAAATAACTGTAGATGCTTATCACTGTTATTAGCTTTTTGAAATTTTTCTGATTGGCGTTTTTTATCAAAGTTTTTCTCCCTGCTCAACCCTCTGCCTCTATCCGAGCTTGGGACCGGGAGTACCCTTAGAATACCTACAGGCACTGGGAATTAGAGGTAGACATCAAAAGGAATGAATAGCACTTGGAAACAATTTGAAAGGAGAGATCAATACAGTTGATTGGAGAATCCTGGTCGGTCTATCCCCCACTAGAGGTAACAGGGCGTACGTAAACGTCCACTTCAAACAATACTTTAATAAAGTTATATAACAGATTATCAATCATATTTAAACTGATACTGTCTATTATAATTATTTACTTATACTTAATGAACTAATCTTTAGTGAACATAACTTTCAGCTAAAATAACGCCATTCAATCACTAGAGGAATGGTAAAAATATTTATTGAAACGCAATTAAGATGTTATTCTTTAATAGGTATACGAAAAATAAAAGATTCTTACCCCCATATTTTTATACTCTGGTTTTCCATCAATAGTTTTCATATTTTGAATTCTAGTCTTAGCAATATCAATTGGTAAAGAGAAAACAGATGTAGTAAAACCACTTAATAAGCTAGCCATTATGTGTACATTCAAGCCATCAGTGAAATGACCTAGAGAAAAGTAAAAGGATTCCAAAATATGGATAAATTTACTTGATGGGTATAACCTATTATATAATAAATGACATGATATGGACTTATTACATGAAGCTGTAATCATGATGATGATGATGATGATGATGATGATGTAGAAGACTTGGGTCAAGAGTATGTGTTTGTTGACACTCATTTTACCAAGAATATTTAAATTGTTTAAAGATTGTCAGCATAATAAAAATTCGATTGTACTATTATTTCTCTCACCCTATCTCAGTCAGTCAGTCAGTCAGCTACAACGTAGGACCAGGCACATATGTGCATCGGTCCAAGTTGCCATACCGCATCAACACAACAAGATGAACACCGGATTCATAACAGTGGTTAGGTGAAAGGTGGTAATATATAAGAGAAAGATTGCATATAGAGATATAGTACAAGCAGAAAGAATTGGTTCGTAGAAAGAAAGATATGAAGCGATTTTAATCTCATAGTTTAAGGGAAGACAGGGAGTGTATACACCGACGCCATTGTGATCGATTCTGAGCCATGTCACCAAGAGTCTCCAACCATTGGTTACCATAGTCACGCGGACCCCAACCAAGTAGTCTGCATCTACCAACATGGCTCAGAATAGAACTTAGTGAATTCAAGCAATGATGCCACGTTTTGGTTTGGCCGCCCCTAACTTTCTTCCAACCATTTCCAATACCGGATAGCATTGCACGTCGTGGTAATCGGTGTTCAGGCATACGTAACACGTGGCCCAACCATCTCAGTCGATGAAGATTCATAACCTCATCAACTGATTTACCATCCTTTCCTAATACCCTGCGTCTAACCTCACTATTACTTACCCGGTTATCCCAGCAGATGCCAGCAATATTTCTAAGGCATCTGTGGTCAAATACTAGTAGCTTACGAGTGTCTTCTACTCTTAATGGCCATGTTTCGCTGCCGTAAATTAAAACAGAGCGGACTGCCGCGCAGTATACTCGTCCTTTTATTGATAGACGGATATCTCGCCTTCGCCAAAGGTGACGTAAGTTGGCAAAAGTCAAACGAGCTTTTCGAATCCGTGCTGAGATTTTGTCCGATACCAACCCATTAGGGCTGATCAGACTTCCAAGATAAGTGAACTTGTCAACGCGTTCGACTACTTCACTCCCTATCCTTAGTTCAGGTGTTAACGCAGACCAGTCCTGAAGCAACAACTTGCATTTAGAGGGAGAGAAACGCATTCCAAATATCCTGGCATTGTTGCTCAGTGCTACCTCTCACCCTATCTGACCCATATTTATTCGGATCATGGATCTTAGAATGTAACTTAACATACAAGCCGATTCAAGTTAATATTCCATATGAGCCCTATCAACATTAACAATTTTATTCCATTTTGTTAGTCTTTTAATATTTGAATTCACTAACTGTTGTCGTCCTCACCACACTGAAACATATAGCTATTGTTTACATATACAGAAGTGGAATTTATCACACAGTTGATAGAAATACTATTATATGAGTTAAAATAAATGTGAAATCGAAATCAGACATGACGCTTCCTGGTGAAGTTTTCTCAGGAAATAAATCCTGAAAGTAAGGTACCAAGAATCATATTGAGATATAGCTTATTGATAAGTTCGAATGATTTAATTCCATCAGTTACTTTACTAGTAAACTTTCGTTAATTTAAGACAGAGGACACAGTGATTACCGATAGGAAATACTTTTCTAAAATATAATAATTTCCGAAGCACAACCGATCAATAACAACGTTTATGATATCGAAGTGGAGTTTCTTACTTCAACTTAGTGAATCATGTACTAACCCTGCAATATTCTTCGAACATAGATCAAGCCAAAAACGTAACTAATAAAAGCGTTAAGTCGAATGAGTTCACTGAATGGCTTGATCAAGACTGTTTCATACAGTAGTAGTTTATACATTGATTAGTGGATTATAAATTAATCATTTGTATTTGTATTAGATTTTAATATCAAACATCATAATGGAATGAAAACTAAATATTTTTTAAAATATTTATTGAAAAATTAGCTTTAACTTACCGACTTCAAGAAGTTTTTGTTTGGCTTGAGAATAAGTAGCTAATTGTGCACCATTAACTACAGCTGCTCGACCCATAGTTGGGACTGCACCCTACAAAGTAAAATTATACAGGGAAATACACATATGCTTCTTTCAGATAAAAAAAACATTCAAGTGACAATTCATTGGATTATAGGATATGACTTGTTCAGTAGATGGATTTAGGATGACCGACAGGATGTGTACTACCGATTAACTAGTGAAACAATGAAGTGGTTATGAAAATATTGAGCGAAAGCATTACTTTAACATTTGGCTTAAAATAATTTCTATTGCGATATAACACATACTTTTTTAATTTTGTTTCTTGACTGTTTAGTATTAACATATACTTGGAGAAACTTGATATATATCATGCATCAGTTTAGAGTTGTAGAGATCGTTGAGTTTCATTGAAATCATGAACCGATCTAATTTGAAACACCATTGAAAACTTGGACGCACTGGAAGGCTGCTTCGTCTTAATATTGGAGTCCTCAGAAGTGCGCATTCACGACTCTGTGGGTGGGAAACGAACCCAGGACCAATCTTGCGAGCAAACGCTTATCCTATAGACCAATGAGCCAACATCTAACAGTGTTAATATCTAGCTCGTAGATGTTCACTGCTGAGGAGTCCCATACTGGGACGGAACGACCATTTAGTGCTTCCAGGTCTTCAATGGTGGTCTAACACAGATGGGCTCATGATTTCAGTGACAAATCATTTACTTTCACATAATAGGTTTGACCGATGTATATGAACTTGAAGATTGTAAAATAAAAGGTATACTCTGATAACAGTGAAGCTGAACAGGTTATAAATATTGGTGTTTTAGCTTGGTAATTTCCGAAATGTGAATTGGACAAACACTGATATCATTTTTATGTGTGATTTTTATTCATTATTAAGTAAAGCTAAACGAAAGACATTAGAAATCATCAAAATGAACATTTAATTTAGAGGATGAATTCCCTCTAATAAACAAATATACAATACAATTCAGAAGCGCTAGGTACCTAAGAGAATTACCGTACATTTTAGTTAATTTCAACGTTTATATGGATAAATTATCTACCACAAACTTTATGGAAATGTAACAATTTTTATAGGATAGATGGGATGTATCTAACAGTGGGATCTAGGAAGAGCGTTTCGTCCTATTTGGGACTAGTTAGCTGGCTGTACCTAAATTACAGAATTACTGTTCACTTCAGGATGCTAAACCGGTACCTTTCGCTCCAAGTGCTTAATCCGTTATCCACTTATTTGCTGAGTCCAGATAGTTGCTAGCTTGTGACAAACTAAAGCTTATCAAAATTCAGTCAAAAATATCACCGACAAGATAATCTAAACTATTATGAACTAAATTAAGTGGGAATTCCTTTGCTATTACTACTTCATGTTGAAATAGAGCTAAAACAAGATATTGATACTAATTTGTTAATCTACACATTTAAAAAAAAACAAAAGTTCAGTGGATAAGAATGAAAAGTGGGAAAAGATTAAAGTAATAGTAACATAAAATATGATTTGAAGAATGAAATTAAGAAAGACGACTGGCACTCGTTGGCAAGACCCACCTGCAACATCGAGAAAACTGATTCTTTGTTCGTGATTCTAAACCGCGTTAAGTACCTTTACAGGTTGAGATATTACCACTAAGTTGAATGATAAAGGTTTGAATCCCAC